CACAGAGAAGGCTCTCCTCCGGGGTCCTGCCGGCTGACACTGTCCGGCTGACGGCATCCAAAGGAGGCCCACCCTGTGGGATCTTACTGGCCGCTGGGAGGCATGTGGCAGTAGGCGGTCTCGCAGATACGCTGGTCCTGAGCCATGTAGGGCTTTAAAGGTGATAACCAACACCTTGAATTGCGTCCGGAGACCAATTGGTAGCCAGTGCAGCTCGCGGGGGATAGGAGTAACATGGGTGTATCTAGGTAAACCCAATATCGCTCGCGCGGCCGCATTCTGGACTAGCTGTAGTCTCCGAACGCTTTTCAAGGATAGCCCCATGTAGAGCGCTTATGAAACAACACCCAGGTTTGTTGTTGTTGTTGTTGTTATATAGTGCATTTAATTTTAAGTAAATTTGTGATCCAGACCTATTCTTGCCCAAGAAAGCATTATATCATAGAAATTTGGGGGATAAGTACATAATTATTTCCTTGGGATTGTTTTGGGTTTGGAAGTTAGCTGAGGGGAAAATGATTGAGCAGAGAGAAGGCAGAGGGCAGGCCCTGATGTTGTGCTCTATATAAATTCTCTCCTTGATTCTCAGTTAGCAATACCAGCCAGATGGGCTTGCTGCGGTCCATATTAATCAGATGTTGCTTATTTCTTTTACCTCTCCAGAGTCTGGCAGTCTCCAAGCAGCTAATAAGGAACATGGAAAAAGAGAAGCTGTACGAAGTTAATTCTCAGGAATGTGAATGTCTCGTGGAAAGGTGGCTATCCGAAGAATGCATGAATGCCATAATGAGCTTCTTGCAGAAAAAATCGAAGCTCTAGTCTCCAACCCATCGTGCAAAAATAAATTGCTGTGAGTTGTTTCTGTTTCCCTTACTGCAAAAGCTGTCATTAAATGAATACCTTGGATTCATATCCAGATGGTCCCTTCATTCTGCCTAGAGCTCAGCTTTCTTTGCCTTTTAGAATTTTGTATTTTGACATGAATTTATGGCGCCAAAAGCACTGGAGATGCCTGTTCGGGCCATGAGGCGGGAAAGCACTCACGGCTTTGCAGGCCGAGCGAATTTCTTTGAACGTGACAATGGCTGTTTGCCTTCCGCAAGGGATGAGGGATTCAATGTCACCGAAATTTCCAAGTTCTTGAAGAGCTGATTGCTGGTCATATTGAAATGACATGGTCTTCGGGATCCATCTATTGTGGAGAAAGGGGGGAAACAAAACAAAATAATGACACTACGGTACGGTACCTGTATTAGAAAAAAGATGATCAAATATCTGTTTTCAAATGCATACAACAAGGATTAATAGCAATAGCAATAGCAGTTAGACTTATATACCGCTTCATAGGGCTTTCAGCCCTCTCTAAGCGGTTTACAGAGTCCGCATATCGCCCCCAACA